TATTAATAATAATAAATTAGAATTCATTTAAAAAGCGACAGCTATTGGGATTAGCGCTATACGAGGTGCGCAATAAATCATCAAATGTCATCAAAATATAATTATGTATCTAATTTTTAATCAAGAATAATATGTTTCGGCTAATTTTTTAGCATCTTCAGTATATACATATATGACGATTCAGCGAAGAATTAAATGCATTCCAATAGCCATCGCTTTTTAACTGTAAATTGTAATTTATTTATTTCGGGAATTGTGATTGATCATTATTTTATATTATTAATAGTAATCTTATACGTATTTTATATTGCGATGTTATTGAGGAACTAATAATTATTCCATTTCAAATTTAATAAGATATACAGTAAAATAAATTTATGTTTACGTGATATATGTTTATACTAAAGTTAAATGTTATTGAAGTTAGCCACTAAAAAAAAATATAAATAAGATTCGAAGTAAATCACGAAATGGCAATACGGGAAAAAACCGCCAAGGGAAACGAACGCCTTTAATGTCTTCGATTACGACAAGCTGTCGAAACGTCGGAAACCACAAGGGTCTGGAAACCGATGCGGTAAATTCCTGATACTTGATATAAAAGGCAACGTCAACATGTTTCACTTTTAGAGACAGAGGAAAGAAGACCAAAATATTTTCCACATCCAATCCGAATTACTAGACTGTATTCTAACGTAATATTATTGGTGTACTTTATATGGTATTGGTACTTCATGTATGTGTTATTATATACAACACTAACAAGAGAAACGATGAAGGACAGCGTGCCTCTCATGCGATGGTGAAATAACGATGGGAATATTTCAGCAGCCGCTCTCAGCGCGTTTCTTCATAATTCATCTCAAAAGAGCTCGGACTCGAGTCGTTTCCCTAAGCATCAAAGAGATAATCCGCGCGGATGAAATTCGACGCGGTGAATGGGGAAATTTTAATCAAAACGATACCGAAGTACTGAGAAAAGGGACGTACAATGATCTCGATGATTAAAAATCCCGCTGTAATAATACATCAAGCCCCATAACAATCTTTCTCCTGCCGAATGAATTTTTTTTTTATCTTCTCGCTCTTAATCTTTTATCTCAACCCTGTATCTCCCGAGAGACTTTTCCCAAGCAATTTCTCGCGTGTTATATTTATGAATAGACGTACATCCCACCGAGTGCAGTGAGCGTATCCGAGAAATTCGCGTTGACGAATCAACCCGGAAATAGCGGTGCGAGACAAGTGAGTCACTCTAATCATTGTAGTACACTGACGAAAACATCTGGTTGAAAATGGCCGAATCGGAAGAGTCTGGTTATCAATCAGAATGTTATCTTACTCTCTATAAATCTTTTTGAGTAATCTCACTCTGAAGAGTAAAATCTCACTCTTGGAGAATGAAATTAAACTACTCAAGATTGACTCAATTTTCACTTTTTAAAGTGAAATTTTACTCCGAAGAATTTAGGGAGTAATTAGAATAGATTTTACCAAAAAATTCCGATTCGTTCATTTTTAACCAGAATTTTGATTAAACCGATCAGATATTTTTTTTAGTGTATCTAATGCAGCATATGGTAGGTCATTCCAGCAACATAGCAATATTTTAACGTTACAGTAACATTACATAACACCGAGTTGCAACACGTTGCAACGATATTACTGTAAACTTGCTGTATGTATTAATGATTGTTAATTACAATCACTGAGAGATGAATATGATTGCAATTATCATAATTTAATTATAACTTAAATAGCCATTTTTGGAACTAGAATATTTATGATTATTTTAATCATTAAAATATAGTCAATTGTGCTATTAAATATTTTCTTAACATATTTTTTAGTTATTACTAAATAAATAGTTACATTCATTATAATTACAATTGCATTTACTCAATAAAATTTTATTTAAATTACCATTTTATAATGATGTTTTACTATATTAATATTTGAAATTAATAAATTATTATAAATTACAGTACAATTTTTTCACGTTTGAGAGAACACTATACATATGTATAAGATTATTACCATTATATAGCAGTAATAACCATAATTATTTTATACAGTACAATTATAGTTACAAATACTAAATACTTTCCTCTCCGTAGCAAAAGTAATTAATGTCGAAGTTATTTCGCGAAGTCGCGAATTCGGAGTTCATACAAATTATAGGTCTGTTCTTTTCAGCTGAGCTTCTTGCACTTTTTAGCCTTTTTCTTTTTTTCATGTTGAAATAAAAAAAGAGAAAATATGGCAGGTACGAGAAGTCCAACTATAATTTATATGCTTGTTTCTACCATTGTAGCTTATTAACTTTAATCTCGGTTTAATTTACTCCTGATCCTTTTCTAAATCTTTAAAACTAGGAGAAAAAGAAATTAAAAGTTAAACCAAGATTAAAGTTAATCTACATTGGTAGAAATAGAAATGTAAATGTTCTCATGTAAATTCATACATACGCTGCGGCACTTTTGCTTATAAAAACAAGACTGTCGCATATATTCGCTCGTCGAATTTTAATTTCATTTTAATTTCAATACTGCGTCAACGCTTCGCATTTATGCGAAATAATGAAAGGTAAAAACGAGCTATTATTCCGCGCGCGGTCACGTAAGTGGAGAGTGGCCCACTGGGCTGAGAAAAGACGAGCCTCCGGTCGCGCGATTTCGCACGCAATGGCGCGCGACGATCCGGTCAATTTGAATTTGTCGCGCACGTACTAACCTCTGCCGATGCTGTGGGCCGCGGGAGCGCGACCCGACTTGCAAACGGAATGAAATTTCTCCACGGGCGCGAGCTGCCGCGGTCACCGTCGGGCTTCGGCGTCGTTCTCGGGATCGGAGATGCTTCCGTGTTTCACAGGATTTGCGCGGCAACGCGCGCGGTACAGAACGAGAGGAAAGACCACGCACAACCAACACGATTCGCGAGGCGCGGGAGTATATTGCGTCAGTCGCGACAGCGCTCGACAATAGAGAACATCCGTCGCGCTGCACAGCCGAGCAACGTCTGCGAAGTGACACGCGCGAATCTAGTCGCGAACCCGGTTGCCATAGCACCGAGCCGCGCGATTGGTCGATGAGCGTCAAAGACGGTACTAGCGCGAATTGCACCTACTGCACTTCGGCAAAACGAAATTACGACGTCACGAGTATGAGCGACGAAAATGGCGTTTGTCGAAAATAAAAAATTTACGGTTATTAAATTGACGACTTTATGAGATATATCATTTGTCTATGTACATACACGTGTTACTTGTTATTCATAACACTTCGTTTTCCTGCACCCTTTGCACACTTTACTACGCATGAAGTTGTATGTAAATCGGGACATACGAAGCGCGTATTTCGTATCTAAATAGTCATACGTCATGACTAACATATAATAATTCAATTAATTATTAATATCAATCTTGTGTGGTTTTCTTAACAAATTTAACATATTAATTTTTTATACATTAATAATAATGTATCGCTTATAAATACCAATGAAAAGAAAAATTAATAAAAATATTACAAATGCAAAAAGAATATTAAAACACATTATGTATTTATATTATATTTCTCATATAGCAAGTATGTTTCTGTTCATATTCAATTTGACTTTTTCTTATTAAATAAACGTTATTTTCAAATATATATTATACATATTCATTTTAATTATTTATTATATTTAATTTTTAAATGCAACTAATTTTATACAAAGATAATATATCAATTATATCAACTTATGATAAACAATTAAAAAATAAAGGCAATATATGTCATTCCCCTGAGCTGAATAAATATTAATAGGATTATTAATAACACTTAAATATCTAGAATAAGAAAAAACAAATTACAAAGTGTGAGCTAAATTGTTTTTATTAATATTTCTTTTCTATCAATGTAACTATATATATTATATCTACATATATGTTTTAATATATGTACTTTACATATACATATGTACCTATAACAAGCATTCAACAAGCAATCCCAAATAATATAAAACAAAACATTACTGTTCACGTGATGATTATTGTTGCAGTATTAATTGACATTTTTAGAATGCGAATTTTAGCACAGAGAATGCGATGAAATGCGAACGAGACCTGACATAATAAGTACTGTGCATTTCTGATATGATTACTAGTCCCTCGAATGTTTATACACCAAAGTCATTCACTCCGCCACTTTTTATGAATCCGTTGTAGATGCTCGTAAGCTCGTTGAGAAATATTAAGTTCGGGGTTTATCGAACACAAACCAGGCTGTCTTAAAAGACTTAAGCCACACAAACCTGTTGAAGAAGTCGTATATTTGTACTTGCGTTATTATTTAAAATGGACAATTTAGTAAAATTACTTTTTACAAGATAAATATTTGCAAAACAAATATTTTAATATTAACTCTCTGAATTGACACTGAATCTGTAAAAGCTCTTTCTCTTTCTCTCTCTCTATTTAATTTATATTAATTAATTTATATTAAATAAAAACGTTAATTAAGAACTAACAACATTAATTAAGAAATCAAAATTGTATAAAAAAGAATGAATGCTACACATATTCTAAAAAAATTTTAATAATAATTTAAAGTTGCAGATGTAACATAAAAATTAATTTGTTTAACGTTTTGACCTAATTTGTATAAAAAAAAATAATACTAAGACCGAATTTCAACATACACCGTCAGTACTGAAAATTTATAGTGTATATAACATGCATTACATAGATTTTCAGTACTAATTCCCCTGAGCTGAATAAATATTAATAGGATTATTAATAACACTTAAATATCTAGAATAAGAAAAAACAAATTACAAAGTGTGAGCTAAATTGTTTTTATTAATATTTCTTTTCTATCAATGTAACTATATATATTATATCTACATATATGTTTTAATATATGTACTTTACATATACATATGTACCTATAACAAGCATTCAACAAGCAATCCCAAATAATATAAAACAAAACATTACTGTTCACGTGATGATTATTGTTGCAGTATTAATTGACATTTTTAGAATGCGAATTTTAGCACAGAGAATGCGATGAAATGCGAACGAGACCTGACATAATAAGTACTGTGCATTTCTGATATGATTACTAGTCCCTCGAATGTTTATACACCAAAGTCATTCACTCCGCCACTTTTTATGAATCCGTTGTAGATGCTCGTAAGCTCGTTGAGAAATATTAAGTTCGGGGTTTATCGAACACAAACCAGGCTGTCTTAAAAGACTTAAGCCACACAAACCTGTTGAAGAAGTCGTATATTTGTACTTGCGTTATTATTTAAAATGGACAATTTAGTAAAAATACTTTTTACAAGATAAATATTTGCAAAACAAATATTTTAATATTAACTCTCTGAATTGACACTGAATCTGTAAAAGCTCTTTCTCTTTCTCTCTCTCTATTTAATTTATATTAATTAATTTATATTAAATAAAAACGTTAATTAAGAACTAACAACATTAATTAAGAAATCAAAATTGTATAAAAAAGAATGAATGCTACACATATTCTAAAAAAATTTTAATAATAATTTAAAGTTGCAGATGTAACATAAAAATTAATTTGTTTAACGTTTTGACCTAATTTGTATAAAAAAAAATAATACTAAGACCGAATTTCAACATACACCGTCAGTACTGAAAATTTATAGTGTATATAACATGCATTACATAGATTTTCAGTACTGACAGCAAGAATCAGAACGCAGCCTATATATATATATATATATATGTGTGTATTTTAATAATTATAATAATAATTCAATTTGTATAAATAACAAAAAAATTGAATCATTTGATATTTTGAACAAAGAAATTTATAACTGAGTAGGCCTAATAAATTTATTGTCAGTTTCAGAGGGTTAAAGACATATAAATTATATTATGAAATAAGGCATAAATTATTTCACATTTACCTAAATATGTATGTAAAGGATCCGTCCGAGTATTGTCAAATTTGGCCAATCCTCCGACGAGTGTGTCTTGTGTTTTAAGGATAAATGTTTTGTTTTGTTCAGCGTCTGAATAATTGAGGAACTCCAGCAGCTCGAGCGTAGCACCAACCCAGAAACTGTAACATGTATCGGACGGTTTTCCAGGCCTTCCATTAAATCCACCATCCTGTCGCATAAGGCACCAACGCTTTAACCGAGCTAGACGATCCCGTGTCAATATTTCCAATATGTTAATATGTTCTCTCATCAGAAACAAACTCGCCACAGCACAAAACGTGGAGCCTCCATGAGATTCGAGACCTGGTCCTTGTCCAATTCCACCATCGTACGACTGTAATTATTATAATAATTATAAAGCCATCTATTATACATAGCAACTAGCAAAAGGAAAGTAAAGATATATGTATATATATATATATATTAATAAATCAATATTAATGAATAGTAATATAATAATAGATAAAAATAAATAATAATTCGAGTAAATGCTTACAATGCTTCGTAAAATGTAATCAATAGCCCTTGGGATATCTACACCTGACCAATTATCTAAAATTGCAGAAACACACGAGGCACAATACAGGAATCTCATGTCGCTCTCACATCCCGTGACCATGGCCGTGAAAGATCCGTCAGGATTCTGACAGGCTCGGACCCCCTCGATGATAGATTGTTTATCAACTCTACTGAGATCGTCATCAAGAATCAAAAGAGTTACCAAGCTAGTGTAGGTCATCGCTAAATGGCCATATTGATGCTCGGGTACATCCTTCGGTACCGTTGTAGATGTTTGAAAGCCAGAACGCGGGCCAGCTCCTTCAACCTGGAGTCTGTAAATCCAGTCGATCGCCTGAGACTTGGACTGTTCATCGATCTCATCCAGCGAGTTTAACAGATCCAGACCAGAGAATGCGAAGTACGCGATCATTGGTCTGGTACAGTCGAAATCTTTCATGCTGCTGGGCATGATGTGTAGTAACCTTTGGAAATATTTAACGTGCTTCTCCCGCACCAGTTGCGGCGTCATGATGAGATCTCGATGGAGTTTGTGGCGACCCGCCACCAGAGGTCCAAGGAAGAGTCTTGCGCCAATTCTCGCATGTATTCGAGACACGCGAAATCTTTTCATACAGAACCTCGATCTAAGATTCCTCCATGCGTCTGAGGCAGGCTTCCACTACGATCTACGATGCCTTGCTGACAGGTCTAGTGGGGGCCGGGACGAAACGCCGCGGTAGATGATGAACAACATTTCGCATAGGCCCACAGGGCCCTTAAAATTTAAAATATTAAGCCCAAAACATTGGTCCAACAGTTGTATGTTATGCTCATGCTCTATTATGCATTTCATGTGCGATAGGCTTTACTCTAAATCGGCACGCGACGACACGCCTCAAGAAACGCGCGGATAACCTGCCGTTGTGCGTGGTTGTGCGTGTCCACGTTTTAAATGGAATCTTACTGGCGGCTGGCGCCTCTGTATAAAATGTATAACATGGAACTACCGGAATATTTCCGGTGGGTAACATTCACAATCTTTGGTTCTGTTCTGTGCTATGTTCATAAAAAATGTAAATTGCCTCGGTCTATTTTTTTTTCTTAAGAAAATTCTGAAGTAATATACACTGAGTAAAGTTGGAATAAGATAAATAATTTGTCTCACTTATTGCATTAGTGTACATCAATTCAAATTTTTTTTTGGAAAAAGAAGAGGCTCTAAAAATGATTAAAAATTAATATAATGTTATATTATTGATACAATGCAATGGTTTGATTCAGATTTCTTTCTAATCATCTCTAAATTAACTGACAAAATTGGAGCAAAATTTAATTACATAATTCCTAACATAGAATTAATGTAAAATAGAGGCTCTTCAAAAGAATAAATCCAAATATATAAAAAAATGCCAATACGAGCCAACACAGGTTGTTCATGTGAATATCTAATTTTACTCAAAAAATATCCTCTGTATTAGCATTTTTTTTATATATTTGGATAATTCCTGACATATGTCCATTCTTATACCAAGAAATTTTTTTAAATTTAATTTAATCAAATTAATATCATATTCTTGGTTTAACTTGTCTTTTTCAAATTATAAGAATTAAAAAAGATAGCAAATTGAACTCAGATTAAAATTATTTTACATTTTGATAAAAATGGACATTAGAACTTCAACCAACTCCAGTTAACTTAATCAGCACTATTTTAGAAAATAAAACTATGAAATTAACAGAATTATGTTTAATCCTATTAATGTATTAAAAAAAGATTAAAAATTATATAGAAATGTTTATCTTAATATTCTACTGGTCAAGTTAATTGCAGATTAAAGTAAACGGTGTTTGATCAAGGTAAACCTAAGATTGAAAATTGACACAATTGTAAAAGGAATCATACCAATATCTTTTTTTTACAGGAAGGCAATAGGGAATATCATAAAGATAAAAGGTCAAAATAAAATGAATTTGAATACTTTCTATAACATTTCCTTGCATATATTTGTACATATATATCTATATATATACATATATATATATATGTATGACAATCAACATTGACACATCACTCTATACTTTGTAATAAAAAAATAGAAAGAGAAACTTATTATATAAATGTTAATTACAAACTCTGTTACAGATTTATGGACATTGTAACATCCAGATAGATAAACTACAGATCTATAGTGGCAACGATTATCAAGGAAAATCTCTAATATTTTACTCCCTATTACTTTATATCAATAATAATAATAATAATACAATTGCTGCATTTAGAAATATATAGTCTGACGATTCAAGTTCAACGTGACAGATCTTTAATAAATAAAATTTTCTCAAATATTGTATCACTTCGCAACACAACATGCGCGCATCTCTGTTATAAATAAAATCAATATCAAATAAATATCTGAAGCCAGGGACACACAATGCATTTTCTTGCTAAATTGTTAACGTTCTAGTAGATTACTAGAATTACACCACACAGAACACATAATTTCTAGTAATTTACTAAAATGCAGACAATTAAACAAGAAAACATATATTACATACCACTGGCTTAAGGGGATCTTAAACTGGAAGTCGAATTCTGACAACATCGTTTACCGATAAAATGCATATCTTTATATACTACTACATCAATATATACACATACACACAACACAACAAACATATACACAACACACATACACTAATTTTCATAGAACAATATCGTATAGAATTAGATATCTAATGCCCATTTCTATCAATGTAGATTAATTTTATTCTCGGTTTGATTTATTCTTTATCTTTTTCTAAGTCTTAGAACTAGAAGTCTAATTCTAGAAATTCGACATTATTTCTTATGTATACAATCTACAATAATAGTCTGTAACCTTTAAAATAGATAGCAGATCTGTAGCCTCATAAATAGATTGCAGAATTTTTATATCAAGTAAATGTCGTTTCAATAGCTGTAGATGCCATTTGGCATTAAAAATAGATATAAAAAAAGATATAAATTTCAAAGTTGTTATCATTTTCTATATAAATTCCATGCGTATCAATGCATATACTTTAATTCTGGAGCAGAATTTCTATATCTGTAGAAGTAATATGTGATATTGTTCTATGAAAATTATTGCGTTCAGTCAAAAAATTATTGCGGTAAACAGACGATTTTAGGATCCCCTTAATGAAATATGGACGTAACATCGACGAGGAATGCTAGTTATCGTTCTAACAGTCGATAATTCGCTAATAGAACTTTCAGGCAATAAATAACCGTGTGCAATTACGTTATCAGGTAATGAGTCATTAACATCCTAAAGAGATCAAATCGTTATGGCAGAAAGTCGGGCGGCATGTCGCTCGGCAGCGTGACGCCGAGTCTAGTTGTCATGCAAGACGCGACTTTACATCCTAATTCTAGGCAACTTTTCGGATCCCAGTGGGCCAAGACGCCGGCTAGGAAGCCAGCCACCAGAGCATCGCCGGCGCCTGTTGTGTCCACAATAGGTGTCTTAGGCACGATGGGCTGTACCTGAACAAATATACGAAAGAACTGAACTTTCTATTGCCGCCTATCTCTTTCGATTGTCTTTATTTGTTCTCTTGATCGAAACAAACCTGAACGGATTGACCTCTGCTCCATACGATAATTGCTGGCGCGCGTCCACCACGCGTCATGATGAATATACCATCGTCGGCCAACCAGTCCTTACTATTAGCGCTAGAAACGTCCATCGTAATTCTTTTTAAGCTATTCAATAGAAAAGGTATATCAGCAACGTCGTCGTATTTCACGTTCAATGCCTGAGCTAGTGCGATCATTTCCCTCGCGTTGCCAAACACTATCTTAGCGTGACCGACCATTTCGCAAATGGCCGCTTGATGATCCTTCAAAAGTATTAAAAAAACTCAAGTAAACAAATAATGTATTCGTTATTTTAATTCACATAAAAAATAAAAAATTAAATTAATTGATATTATTAATTCATTTGATACATGTCTGATATGATATACTGATTATATTGTTATTTAACGTTATTAATATTTTGTATCTTTCACATACCTGAAATATATAAAAAGAATTGAGATTAAACGCTACAATAATATTCTTCTCCTGTGCCTGTTTGACCACTTCCTTGGCCACATCTAAACTGTGCGTTACAAAATAGCCTTCGATGTAAATTATTTTTATACTATCTAATTGTAGATTGGCCTTTTTTAAATCATCCAATGTATATACACTAGCTGCGCCAAGATTAGCGACGAGACTGCGGGACGTATCGTACACAAGAGAAACGCATAATCCAGTAGGCAATGTTGGATGTACAGTGTATCTAATAAAACAATAATAATATATAATTGTAGATTTATCGTATTTTCTATAAAATACTTAATAATATTTCTTATGCATATTACCAACCTTGCGTCCACTCCTGCAAGTCGAACTAATTTTTCTAAGATCGAACCTCTTTGATCATTTCCGAGACCTCCGCAGTAGATACTGATTTGGGACTCGTGGGTCTCGTCACAAAGCCATTGCAAAATTCTCAATGTATTCTGCGCAGATCCTCCGGGATTAGTATATTGCTCTATCCTATTAGAGTATAAATTTTTTATATTTAATAAAAAATGGATATGTATGCTATATTATACAGGATAGCTACTAAATATTCTAAAAGATTTTATGGCATGATCCTAAGGGATGATTCCTTATACAAATTCAAGACAAAAACCATCATATGTCTGGAGCTTACTTGCAAAGATACAGAGTCAAAATTAAAAAAATTATTTTTAAATTTTGAAAACCATTGGAATTATTTTAATCAAATTTTATATGTTTACAGTTTCATTAAAATAACTCAATTTTCAAATTTTTTTGAAAAAATAAAATTTTTTCTTTAACTTTGAAGGACTGTATCTTTAAAAATAAGACATATAGTCATATGAACTTTTCATCTTAAATTTGTATATAGAGCTACTCCTTAATAAAAAAAATTTCAAAATAATCATAATATATATATATTTTTTTATAATTATAGTATATTATAGTATATAAAAATAAAAGCTTAAAGAAACATTGATGCTTGCACTGTATAAAAACTTTCCAGCAACAAACAAATTAACACAAAAATTATTTTGTTTTTGTCTCTTATCAAATATTGAACAAAGAATGATTTCTATGTTGATGTGTTTATTATTGAAAAATTCTCTCTCTTTCTTTCTCTCTCTCTCTCTCTCTCTCTCTCTCTATATATATATATATATATATATCCTGATTAAATATATGCTGGACACACATGACAACAAATTAAAATTAAAATATTACAAAACATTAAAATTTATATACAGTACAAACATAAACTGTGTTCTAATAAATGTATTTATTAACTCTGGTGGCAAATCCGTGATTAGCTCTTGCAGCTTCTTCTCACACAACTCTGTTTCACCATCTATCTTAAGATTGTACTTCTTAATCAGTTCATCATTCTTCAGTATCACAAGAATATCCAGCAGAGGATTGCCGAAGGCTATGATCGCTGGAAACTCCAATCGAGCGATAGTCTTCCGCAGTGGAATCTTCTCTACCATCTTTCGTATTGAAGAATGAGTTTCAAATGTAGCTTCAAATATAAACATATCAAAATACAAAACATTAATAAGTAATGGACTAATCTTATAAAAATTAAAACATACATGTCAATTCGGAGTAAACTACTTACAAGGTCGACAGAATATTTCGAATCATCCTAATTTGTGAATGAGCTGAATAATTATAGCTACACGGAAATTAGGAAAGCAAACACCGTCACCGCGAAAAATACTGTAATAAATTATCGCCGAATTGAACAAGATACAAAGCGCTAAAGTTATGAACTATAAAAGACAACCGAGTGGACAAGCGCTCCGCCTGAAATATTCTCTCTTCTTCGTGACAATATGTCGAAAAAAGTCGCGCAACTTAAATGTACACGTCGATTTTCTTCCATTCATTTCGTAAGTCACATCACGCCTTGTCCGTCAGTAACTTATTCTACCGCGTATGTCACATTTCTCACCATAACCTAAATTATTCCCGTATCCAGAGAGAAACTTCAGAATGGCCATCCCGGCCTTTTTCATGACACGCTTGAGTTGAGGCCAATCAAGAAGAGAATAAAAGCCGCAGCACACAGTTTTCCATGACGCATAAGTCCGGATCTACAATGGATTTTTAAACCTATGTCATAAGGAATGGTCGAAATGGACGAATTACAGTCGATTATTCTCCTCGTATTTGACTGTAATTGGTCAATTTCTTACGGCTTAAGCCTTAAGACATCTATTGTAAATCCGGACTAATGCATGACGTATGAGAGCATTAACCAATGGCTGGAAGCTGGAATTAACTAGTTTTCTAGGCCTCTAGACCACTGGCTGATTGTGGCATTGTGCTTGGATGGATTGCATATTGCATACTTGATACTTGTACGAGGACCACGAGGACGAGGTTGATCAGCGCGATCTGAACAATTTTGATGTGCATTTAAGCACAATATTTCTGTCAAAATGGTTCGTAAAAAAATAGACAATAGGATACGAGTTTTGATAGAAAATGGTGTTACTGTAGGACATAGGACGCTGTTCGTCATCGTCGGTGAAAAAGCGAGGGACCAAGTAAGCCAAATAACCTTTTCATAAATTTGTTTTGTTCTTAATTTCATTTTATAACAATTAAAATGAATAAGAAATTTTGATTATATATAAACAATATATGAGGAGCAGGCTATCAAAATGCGTTTTGTTCAAAATTTATAATTTTCAGAAAATATCACACTAACGTAAATATTTAAATTCTGAAATCTTAGGAAGCTGTATATTCTTTAAACTATATTAAAATAAATAATCATTTAGGTAATATTGTTACACCATATGTTATCCAAGACTGTTGTCAAAGCTAGGCCTTCTGTGCTATGGTGCTACAAAAAAGACCTAGGCTTTAATAGCCATAGAAAGAAACGAATGAAATCATTGCAGAAAAAAATCAAGTCGGGTAAATTAGGCGTTAATGAAGATAATCCATTTGAATTGTTTGTTATTTCGACTAATATTCGTTACTGTTACTATAACGAGACACACAAAATATTAGGTAATACTTATGGCATGTGTATATTACAGGTATTTATAATTTTATCTTTCCTTTCATATCCATTTTTATGGAACAATTTTATTATAATTATTATAATAAAATGTATTTATGTATAATAATGATTTAGGATTTTGAAGCAATTACACCAAATTTATTGGCACGTACTATTGAAACTGTAGAGGGTGGTGGAATTATTGTATTTTTACTGCAGTCTATGAACTCTTTGAAGCAGTTGTATACAATGAACATGGATGTTCATCAGAGATTTCGTACTGAAGCTCATAAGGTAATAATATAACATTTTTGTTAAATACATTTGAAACATTGTGTTGCGTAAAATTTATATAAATTAATGTATAATTTCCATACATATAAATTAATATTATAATTTCTCATTTATTAATTTAGGATATAGTATGTCGATTTAATGAGAGATTTTTGCTGTCATTGGCTTCATGTACTCGATGTTTGATTGTTGATGACCAACTTAATGTATTGCCTATTTCTTCTCACAATCTAAGAATAGAACCTGTACATAAATCAGACGTTTCAGAAGAACAATCAAGTTTGAATGCTTTAAAGGAGAGTCTGCAGGACACTCAGCCTGTATCTGCATTAATCAATTGCTGTAAAACTATTGACCAGGTAAATTAATATAAAAATGAATTTACACTAGAACAGCTGATGGTGTGTCGCTTTGGCTCTGCTAATTATTTCAATTTTTTTGTATTAGATACATAAACCCATATTCAGAATGTATTCAGAATAATCTATAATATTAAAAATATAAATATAATACAAATAATTTTAATAACATTAATAGATAATAATTCTAATATAAATAATATCAAAATATTTTTTCTAAAATAAGAATGGAAAATTATCAAATTGGCATCATTGACAATCCTAGCAAAATACGTACTATCAGCTGTTTTGATGCCAATTATATATAACAGGATTATTGGACATTTAGTACGCACGATGTAAACGCTGTCGGATTATTTTGGTACGAGCGTATCAAGCAGGAGTATCGTACTAAACTGATACGCGTATCAAATGATACAAATGGCGATGTAAACGCATGAAACACATTTAATACGCGTACCAATTCTTTCACGATGTAAACCAGGCCATTATTAAATGTTTTTTAAACTTTATGTTAAATATTTAAATATATGATTTAAACATTTTTAGGCGAAGGCGGTCCTTAAATTTATTGAATGCATCTCTGAAAAAACTTTGAGGTCCACTGTATCGCTGACTGCAGCTAGAGGACGTGGAAAATCTGCTGCATTGGGACTTGCTATTGCTGGAGCTGTTACTTTTGGATACTCTAATATATACATCTCGAGTCCCAGTCCGGAAAACTTGAACACTCTCTTTGAATTTGTCTTCAAAGGTATGTTTACTAGACTAATCATCAATTTTTTAATATAAAAAATTGTTAATTATATAAAATACAATTTGTATATTTTTGTAGGGTTTGATGCTCTCGGATATCAGGAACATCTCGACTATGGTTTAGTGCAATCCACAAATCCAGAATTCAACAAGGCCACTGTTCGCGTAAATGTATTCCGAGATCATCGCCAAACAATTCAGGTAACAATTCAGTGTGTAATTCTATTTTAAAAAAAGAGCTGTGAATTTTTTTATATACATAAACATTTTTTAAATATATCCATACAATTTATTTTGATTTATAACAGGATATCCAGACTTTTTCACGGTATTATAAATTAATATTTTATTTATTTTTGTACAGTATGTACATCCGACAGATACTCATAAGCTAAATCAAGCAGAATTACTTGTGATTGATGAAGCAGCAGCAATTCCGTTACCCTATGTCAAAGCGATGCTTGGACCTTACCTCATATTTCTCGCATCAACTATAAATGGGTAAAACATTAAAACTTTCCTGGTATCGACAGATTATTAATTTTCATTTGTTAATATTTATAGATATGAAGGTACAGGTCGGTCTTTGTCACTTAAATTGCTACAACAATTGAGAACTCAAACTGCTGGATCAAATAGCCACAATGGAAAAAACGAAAAGGAGCAAAATGAGAAAACTCTTATCGGAAGACAATTGCATGAACTTACTCTCGACGAATCAATACGTTATAAGTCGGGTGATGCTGTAGAACGATGGCTGTGCGATTTACTTTGCCTGAATGTTACAATGCACGCCCCAATTCTTTCTGGCTGTCCTCCTCCTGATATATGTCAGTTGTATTATATAAACAGGTATGTTTTTCAAATATTGATACAAGTAATTTTTGAAATGCTTGTAATTTGAAAAATAACACGTATTTTTCTCTATTTTTTATTCAGAGATACATTATTTTCTTATCACAAAGCTTCTGAACTGTTTCTGCAGAGATTGGTTTCCCTGTATGTTGCATCGCATTATAAAGTATGTATTACTTAAAAAAAAAATTTTGTAATGAAAAAAGTTATATTTTATCAATATTAATGTAATGGATTATTAATATAATATATTTTCTAGAATACCCCTAATGATTTACAAATGATGTCTGACGCACCTGCGCATCATCTATTCTGTCTGTTGGGACCTGTAGATTCCAATAGAAAAACTTTACCTGAAATATTAGTGGTTCTTCAAGTAACTATAATTCTATGAAATCTAAATCTAATTATATCTCAATTAAAATAAATTTCTGACGTTCAGACATTTTAAATTTCATAAGATAAACATTAAATGTTAAAAAAATTACTATTTTTTTAGACTGCATCTTCTAAATTACTTTCAATTATAATAACTTTATTAATTTATCAATTATAACAAATTTATTCAATATAAAGATACTTTTTATAATTTATTTTCTAATATAGATTTGCTTAGAAGGCCAAGTCAGCAAAACTAGCATAAATGATGGTCTCTCACGAGGTCGTAGAGCAGCGGGCGACTTAATACCTTGGACAATCGCTCAGCAATATCAAGATGAAGATTTTCCAGTATTGTCTGGCGCGCGCATTGTTAGAATTGCTACACATCCCGATTACCAAGGAGTACATGTTTTTCCTTTATAACTTGTCGAAACTTTTCGACTTAAAATTATATGAATTTGCTAAAAGAATAATAAATTGCAGATGGGCTACGGTAGTCGTGCATTGCAATTGTTGAAGCAATATTATGAGATGAAAATGCCTGATATCAATGAAAGTGTTATAGAAGAGTCAATGACAGAAATAAAAAATGTCCCCGACGAAGCAGTCGATTTATTACAAGAAACTATCGGTAATATCCATCTATAAACATTTTCTATTTTAAACAGAATTTTTTAACAGATGCTTTTAATAGAATTCCTTTTCAAGTAAAATTAGTGTTTTAAAAAACGATTTATAATATATTAATATTTTCTTTGCAATTGCTTGCAGAACCGCGCAGTTCACTGCCACCGCTTCTATTGAAATTGAGCGAAAGACATCCAGAACATCTGGATTACATTGGAGTATCTTTCGGAGTTACTGAACACTTATTGAAATTTTGGAAGCGATCCAATTTCATTCCCGTGTATTTAAGGTGTGTACCAATGTAATAAAATACAAGATAAACCAATCTCAAATTTATATGATTTTTCAGACAAACAGCAAATGATATAACGGGAGAGCATTCTTGCATAATGCTTTGTAAAATCAACGTAGAACAGGATAATGATAAATGGTTACAAGCTTACTGGAGCGATTTTCTTCGGCGATTTTTAAGTCTGCTCTCATATTCATTCAACACCTATACAGCGTCACTTGCATTAAGCATATTAATTAACAAAACAATATCATTAGAATCTGTCAGTAAGTGTGTTATTAACAGTTATTAATAATTTATTACGTATCAGTGGTAATAGTGTAATAATTAATGGATTTGAGATGAATTACCATTTACTTCGTTAACTAAACAACCTCTTCTAAAATTGAGACATATTTCAACGTAAGTTATACATATTAGACTAATTTCTTTACTCATATTCTCGGTGAAATTAATTTTATTGGAGATCTTTTAATTAATATGTTTATGTATCTAAATTAAATCCTAAATATCTGTTTCAGCATTGAATAAAGAAACAATGAACGTTCACTTTACATCGTACGATTTAAAGCGCTTACAAATGTACAGTAACAATATGGCAGATTATCATTTGATTATGGATTTAGTACCATCGTTAGCACGTCTGTATTTCTTAAATATGATGGGAGACACTCGTTTTTCAGCAGTGCAATCGGTAGGATATCCCGAATATTTGATATATTTATTTCATACTAAAAATGTTTTAATTCAGACTAATATCTTGTTCTTTCAATACAACACTCAACAATTTTTAGGCGATTTTACTTGGCTTAGGCTTACAACATAAAACTGTCGATAAATTGGCAGAGGAATTGAATCTACCATCTTCACAATTGCTTGGTCTATTCAATCGTATAATACGTAAATCGATTCAGTATTTCAACAGAGTCGCGGAAAAATATATCGAAAGCACTATGTTGCCCAAAGAATCGAGTAATGGAGAAATAAAACTGGATCCTTTAGGTGGACAAAATTTACGCGAAGAATTAGAAAGCGCAGCTAAGGTTTGCAATTCATAATTTATTCTCTAAATTTATGTAACGTAGATAAAAATACCATTCTTTGCAGTTCATAATTCATTCTCTAAACTTATGTAACGTAGATAAAAATAACATTCTTTGTTATAGGAATTAAAAATTAAACAAAAAGTAGAATTAGAAAAACTGAAGAAAGAAAATTTGGAGCAGTACGCTATCAAAGGATCGGAAGCAGAATGGACTAGTGCGTTATCGGGCAAGCATAGTAAACATCTTATCTCTATAAAGACTGGTGAAAAACGAGCTACAGGAGATGATAGTATTCAAGAATCTGATAAAAAGCATACCAAAAAGAAAAAGAAACGTACATAAATTATGTATAACATGAAATAAATAAACGATTGACTAGTTTGTAAAAATAGCTCCACAAGTCTTTTGATTCATAATAAATTTATTACATAGTTATTATAAATTATAATTAGAAAAATATATACTTTATAGATTTGATAAACATCACAGACATTTTCTTTATATTTTTAGCATTTTGTATCAAAATATATCAATAGCTAAAACTAGTTTGTATATGTGAAATTGTTTTCGTATTTTTTTTTTGCATAATTCATATTTCATATCAATTTAAATCAAAGAAATTGTTTTCTACAATATATTTTACACACTGGCAAATTAAATTTCTCTCATGTTGTATAGAACGCGAAAGCAATTTTTCTAATAACTGATTATGATATCTACGTAGAAAATATTTCTCATTTTTATTATTAACCATTCGATTTGGCTCGTGGTTTTGCTTATTTTGATTTTTAGCAACTGTATTTTGAAATTTATTATTTGATTCATTATCCGCATCGGTACAAGACTGTATATTAGAAACTTTCACAACCTTGTGTTTCTCTTCACAAACTTGTGTAGAATTTTCCTCATGAATTGTATTTTCCATAATTTTATCTTGCAGATCTTCAGTTTTTCTTATTTTTATCGATACTTCTTCTGGACCATCATCTAAGGACAAAATTGGTATCTTAAATTATTTTGTATGAAAGAATATTTATACTAATCAAAATTTTTTTAATAATTATGTAGATTTCACAAAATATTCTCTTATAATAAAAAATATAGATTATAAAAACCTGATATATGCATATTTGATTATATATTAACAAACATTAAGATTTGTACAGTACTTACCACTGTTTTCACTTTCATAATCTGCTACTAATTTAGGTAAGATAAGTGAACTAATTACAGGTAAATTAGTGGACTCTGCTGCCGTTTGCGATATACATTCTCGTGCCGTAGATGCTTGCGGTATGTCATCCTCATCTGAAATATTATCAATAACTTTTCCATCGAAATCTGTTTGTTTCACCTGTTTATCTAAGCAAACTGCACCAGGTTCTTCTTGCAAATCAGCTAAAAAAGAATCAGTTTTATTTGATATTTTGTGTGTGATAATATAGAATAAAATTTTAAATTATTAAGGAGTGGAAAAAATATATATCGACATTACAGATTAAAAGTATTACAAATTGGCTATACAGATTATAAAATTCTTTTACACAATTAAAATACGCACAAGAAAAATGAGAAACAGTTAATTTCACGAGAAAATAGAAAAAAAAAGTTAAATTATATTTAATATTCCTGCAATTTTTTAACTTTTTTCGATTTTCTCATGTTAAATCGCCGTCCTGCACCGTTTTCGTATTTTAATTGTATAAAAAAATTTTACAATCTGTACACCCAATTCAGGTTTTTTGAAAATTTAACAGAGAATCTAGAGAGAGAGAGAAAGGAGAGAGGGAGGGAGTGCAAATACCATTAACAATCTTTACGAGTTCTTATATTTTATTTGAAAAGTTGCTTATTGTAAAATGTTACTGTATAGAATGTATGAAGAAAAAAGATTTCGCGATTCACTAAATCCCAATCTAACTACTATCCTGACCAAGACAAAATCCTTATTATCTTTATTCTGCAAGATACACTATGACATGACAATTTGTCAAATATCTCATATAAATTAGATCTTACTTCCCTTTATTGTAACTTAAAGATAAAAAACTACAATTTTTATTTTTTTCAATCTGCAATATCGATAATTCTATCATTTAAGAATCTTCTTAATATAAACTTAATTAGATTGTAATTTACATAAGCTAAATTTTATAAATTACATAATTTAATATAGAATTAAAATGTCTCTCTCTCCCTCTCTCTCTCTCTCTCTCTCTCTCTCTCAATAAATTAATACATTTAAGAGATCTCAAATTTTTTTTACTAACATTATAAAGCAAATTATATTCATAACAAATGTATTCCTATAGTACAACTTACTTATTCCAGCAAACGGGCGTACACCTCTATATGTTTCATCTGTGCTGATACAATTGCTGTTAATTTCGCGTGTATGCCGTTTGCGAGGCTTACGTTTTTTCTCACGTGTATTCATTGTTCTATTTGTTTTCGATCGTATATTATAATTCTGTTTGATTACTTCCCCCCTTTGTAATTTTTCTAGCTCTTCTGCCTTACGTAATTTTATGTTGTCTTCAGTGGGATACCTCCTGTTTTTTTTTCATTAAGAAAAAACAGATTTTTGTTACTTGTGCATTTACATTTTGATATTTATCAAACTTACTTTTTTCGTTCCGTTATCCATTTTTCGATATCTTCTGGTGTCGATAAATCCTTCAGTTTTTGGTACAAACCAGTACGATGCTGCATACTAATATGTTTTTCAACCAGTAAGGGATGCGCCGAAAATGTACAGCCATCAATCCCACAAATCATGTGTGTAAATTTGTGATCAGAGAGAGTATCCTCAGATGGGAAATCTCTATCACAAACCTCGCAATAATAGGTCGCGTTATCGTCGTCAGAACTGACATAATTTTCATCTCTCGTATCGTACATTTCATTATCTGGATACAGATGAGCCTAAAAATCGTCACCTTTCTTTTTCACGCGAAGATCTAGGTATAAATTTATTTGCTCGTAACATATGATCAATACGTTGCATAGTTATTTTCTTAATCATATGATTTATAATTTTTTTTTGCACAATTTTTATTATTTATCTTTAGTTATAAGCAAATATAATACCATAATCTTGTACTGTACATCTATTATTAATGATTACCTTCATATCAATAAATAATTATTGTTCATGATATCTGAAGCTATGAGGTATTCAACCGGGGTATTCAGAAATTCTATATACATAAATATATTTACATATGCGAAGCAGCGAGGCACAGATCTTCCATTCACTATTTACTCCTTTTTAGACTATGTCAACAGTTATAAATTTGCACATATTGTGTCGAAGCATTAATTATTTTTCATACAATAATAATATGCATAGCTTGTGTAGTATTTTACTTGCGATATAAAAATCTCGTTGAAATATTTTATATGTAATATATATAAAAATATGTTTATTTTTAATATACATATATTTCTTACATATATATATTATATATACATATATTATAAATATATATATATATACATATATATAAATGTAATATTTTACAATCGCAATTGTATTCTTCTATATATTATAGGCATTAATAAATGTGCGTGTGTGGGTGTGTGTGTATTTCTATTTATACATTTCATATATTAGCATGAAATTTATGTATAATAAGTTTGCATTAATTATTGCTTCATTAATCTCTTTAAATGTAAATTATTAAATTGTAAAAATTAACAAAAGATTATTTTCATATTTCAGAACGATTATTTCAATACGTACCATTTTAATGATTTATAATGATAAAATGATGGGAAACACCAGAGAATTAGAACTTATAGAAATATGATTTATTCTTATAATACTCATTTCAGTTACAAATTCATTTTCTCTTGTCATTGCATTTTGGAAGTCATTTATGAAACGAACAAATACCTTAAATATGATACATATATATAATCATGATCATTTATAAAAGTTATCTTACTAATCTAACAGAGCCACAAGCTATGTCAGACTTTTGTTTACATTAAAATACGCGTTTGAGGTAAATAATCTATAAATTCGTTATCTATTTTAATGTCGTAGATTAGATACTGTAATTCTGTTATACTATTTAATTCTTACACAGTATAGCTTGCGGTACTGTATACTGGCCATGTATACTAGACATGGAAAGGACTTTGAGAAAAATTTATTCACAAACGGCCAGTTTTACATGCCTGTTAAAAAAATTATTACATCTAGTTGTCTATACCTGTCATATTACAAGTACTTATCAATGAACGATATTCGATATTATGTCTGTATGAGTAGATACATATCAATATATAATATATATACATAAAAAGAAATGAAATTATTTTCACAAATGATCTAGATACTCTAAAACTATTTTAACTAGCTACTACTTTTTTAACATTATCTTTATCAGATGTTTTTAAATAGCATACACTTATGATGTAAATAATACAAAAGACATTACGTGATTGTTATGTTGCAATATTATGAAGAAAGAAGTGGAGTGTATCTACATATATCAAGATCCTCTAGAACTTATAACGATGATATGGGTAAAAAAATTTGCTAGATATCAAAACATAAGGAGCAAATCGTTCTGAAGTTTGAAAACAGATGGTTGTATAGCATTTGAATTATATAATTCTTTAATAGGAGGAGTAGCCTCTTAAGCTTAAGACTGTGTCTGTTCGCTGGAAGGCTGCGTCTCCTCCTTTTGCTCCGTTTGTTCTGATTGTTCAGTTGAATTCACAGTTTTCTGAACACCCCTGGATTCATTCGTATTGTTATCATCTGTTTTCTGATTTCCCTGTAAAACCAAAGTAAGCCATCAACGTTGAAGAAAATAGGCCAAATTTTCATCGTACAATGACTACATATGTTTATAAAATATAAGTTTAGAATTTTTTTTTTTAAATGTACGTCTTATAATAATATATTTGCTATTAACTCATTTCCATATCTTTTCTATTAATTTATATTGTACATTTGTCATCAAGGAGAAACAAAATGTACAGTATACAATCTTTATATTCTGTTAAAAAAGCACAATATAAATCTAGGATGCACTGTAAAATCTCGCGACTCTTCAATAAATATACCTGATTTGTTTTGTATTACAGCTCATGTTGTACTGTTATACATTTTATATATTTTATTATCATATATAATATAACTTTAATATTTAAAAAAATATTATACTTAGTAATTAAAAAGGTTGCCTATTTACTAGAAAAATCAATTTGTGCTTTCATTTTTCTAAAATAAAACAAAATTATTGCATTGCCTTTTATTTTTACTTTTAAAAAATAATTAAAGTAAATTTTATTTTTCACATGTACAATGAGATAGCATGCAAAAAAATTACTGTGCAAATTATTTACACCCATATATAATAATAATTTATGCATATATACATATACTTATTAACATAACATGGACGTACACACATCCATTACCACATACATTTTTTAATAATAACATTGAATAATACATAGATAAAGAATAAAAACAGAAAATATTATATAAATAAGCAAATTTGTAAAAATAAAGTAACATTACTGTAATTATAATAATCAAATAAATATGCTAAAAATATATATTAATTTTTTTTCTCTGTAAGGCTAATTCTACAATGTGCTTTTTGTTTCTTGGTCTCTTGCCTTTTTGATCAGGAAGGCAAGAGACAAACGGCAAGAAATAGGAAACAAAAAGCATATTGTAGAATTAGCCTAAAAGTTAAAAAAAACTATAATAAAAAAAACAAAGTATTAAAATAATGTTGTCATAACAGCGACAAAAAAGATACCTGTTCGGGATGCTTTGCAAGGTAATCATTTTTTGCATCTCTTATCATCCTTGTTACTTTGTTTCGAAGATCCTTAAATTCCTCCCATTCTATTGCATCTTTGTTCTTTTTCGCCTTTGCGTACAGTTTGTTTTTTCTTTGAATCTCATTACGAATATCGTCTGTCATCCATGGTTTTTTTAATTCTAATTCCTAAATAATTATATGTTTTCAATAAGATTTAAGTGTCAAAAACTTAATAAAACAAAATTTTTTTTTAATTTAATTATCTATACATTACTAATTATGTACATGTAAAAGAAAAATTTAATCTTATTAAATTAGTTTTCAAATGTAACAAAAATACACAATATTATAAACATTCCAGAAACGCTCTTGTTTATAAATTTGTACTGTCATAAATAGATGTGGTCGAATCGAATAAATCAAGAGTTTATTTATAATATCTTTGTCAACAAGATTAATGTGATTCAAGGATAAAAGCAACTTTACAACAATACGAAGGCCAGAATACGTACTTCGTTCTTGCCTTTCTTTTGGTTACCAATCGCCTTGCCCTTGGCATTCCCATTGCCCACACTGTACCTGGTTCTTATAGGCGGCATCATCGGTAGCGGTGGCATTCGTCGAGGCCACGGCCGCATGGGAGGCCCGCGTGGTAATCCAGAACCGCGGGGTCCCATTGACGGCACGATGAGCGCCATGCCGCGTGCTCTGGGACCGCCCGGGAACCTCGGCAGCATGCCGTTGGGCCGAGACATGCCGCCAGTGGGCCGCGGTGGCGGCAATCTCTGCCGAGGTCCACCCGGACCGTACATCGGATTCAACGGCGGCGGTAACATCCTTGGTGGCATGCCACGCGGTGTTAGTCTACCCGCAAACCTGGGCGGCGGAAGTTGCCGCACGCCGGCCGGCGGCAATCTGGGCGCCATAAGAGGACCTCTGTTCAATGGGCTCATATTCTTCTGCGATTTTTCACCTGTTCTCTGAGCGAAACTTCTGACAAATGCCGCGCAAACTTGACTTCGATATCTTGATGAATTGTTCTCTCTACGGTATACGATCTATAATCTATATCACGAATTCCGTCTTGCCCGTCCAACACGAGGTTATAAAACTACTACTCTGCACGCGACACGCGCGCGAATTGCACCGATGCGAAGTTGCTCGCGTTTCGCGTTCCGTTAGCGTTTACCGTTTTATATATAGTGAGAAATCGGAAAACGTTAACATTAAGAGCAAATACATTACACACGTTTTCTCTTGATTCGAGAAGCAGAAAATGTTGCAAGGAGCAATGTGAAACCCAAAAACCTAATTACCGAACTACGATTGTATACTTGCTATAACTGCCTCCAACCTCCAACTTGCTTCTTATGGGTAGTATAATGTAGATTGTAGATACTAGCAATTTATAACACACGCTCGTGCGTTCATAAACGGACAAATTTTTGATTGATGGATACGGAATGGCAGAAGCCAATCAAAAGTCGTGCTGGTACCGGATGGTAGTACAGAGCGAATTCTGAGATTGGCTTCTGTTTTTCGACTTTCTAGTTTTCTGTTCTGGGTGGATAGACTAGTTGCAAATGTGTCCTATGATTTATGCGTGGTCTACAAAGGCAGTAGCAGTAGTGGATGAGATTGGAGAAGTATGAGATTGACCAATCACAGTCGAATGTGGGAAGAATAATCGATCGTAATTGATCAATTTCTTATAATGTATATGTACCTAATATATAAATTTTGGAATTAAAAATCTGTTTTATAGATATCGATTAAATGCGGCTGTCTCCCTAGCAACGCCTTAATACCATAAAATGTATCGGAGAACTCGTAATAAGATTTTGAGGCATTTTCAACTAATTCCTTTCCAGTAGACTTCGTGCAATTTTAATCAGCACTATAACCGCGTGATGCTTATTGTCTTCTTCTTTATAGCAATTACTCTCAAATAAAAATCAATATGTGACTATATATAGTGTTCTATGTAATATTGTTAAGTAGAAAAGTATCGAAATAATGAGCAAAATCATAGATATATATGTTGTTTATTTATTTGTTCTATATGATTTACAATTGCTGAATAGTGGTTTAATAATTAAGTTATTAAAAAAATTTTACATAAAATTAAAACAATCCATAACAAGATATTTAAATATTAATATTATAAATATTTAAATATTAGTATAAATATTCTGCAATTGGATTTGATTATTATTACAATAAAAAGAATAGTCAAAAGATAAGAAGATTATAGTATTGAATTTAAATATTCAATAAAAAAAAGAACATTATTATCGTAAGAAAGAAGCAAGAGTGGTTTAAAAAATAACATCATTTATTATTTTCTCAATGCAAGAATAAATAAAGGAAACTTTTTTTTATTGTTCTATGTTCGTGATATAATTACTTTTAGTTTCCTGCTGATCGTCAATTATATATTCCAAAACAAAATCTTGTATTTTATTAGAATCCGTTGCAGTATCCACAATCAAGTCTTTTTATTTTAATTGTTTTAATAACGTTTAGCACAATCGCCAACAACAAAAAATGTAAAGTGAAATATAATGTCACAAAATCAAAAACAATTAAATACATGTCGACCAAAATTCGACCAAAACAGTTATCGATACTCACCATTTGCTTTCCTGGTTTTTACTTCCTTTGGATCAGTTCCTACAACATGTAAGCTTAATTTTCTGAAATTACTTTCGTTCAGTACGTTCAATGCAAACCATTTTCGTAACTCATCGAGTTTTATATTATTTATTGCAACTATTTTCTTCTCAAATTTATCAAACATGTATTGCTGCTTCATAATCTCATTCCAGTTTCTATCGACTTCGTTTTCCGGAAACATGATATCGGTTAATTGTTCCCGTTCTTCTTTTATTAGTGATTTCTTGGTAATATTAAAATCATCATGTGAGAACTCTCCTAATACTTTAATAATTTTTTTCAAAAATTCCCCGATTAGCTGGTCCATGTACTTGCTTGTATGTTTATGTGTCTCATCAGTATAAACGGTAATAGAAAATCCTAAAATTTCATTGTCATCTCGACGGACGCAGATGTCGCCATCATCAAACTGTTCTTGAAAGAATGAATCATCATCTAATATGTCTAGCATTATATTCTGAAAATGTACAGAAGAATGTATCTACAAATAAGATCGATCGCGAAAATCGAAGATGTTATTTATATTTCATTAATTTTATTTACTGACTTGCAACATTAAAGGAAAAAACAAGAATTATGAAGCAATAATTTATAGATTTCTAATAATTTTATATTTATAATTTATTTTCTGTAACATTGAGAATGACCCGATCGGCGCCGAAACGTTTGTAATTATTTTTATTTTTATTTTATAAATTAAACGTTCTTTATTACACGACTGGCTCTTTTAGTCCTTCAATTGTTTTATTTTGTTTTATATTTATAGAGCCTTATTATTATTTATTATTATTATATTTAATTTATTTTTAAATTAAAAATAAATAGATATAAATAATGAATGTATACCAAAAATTCCAAGCATCCATAATACGATATAAGAAAAGCGATGTTGTACAATACTTACAATTATCACATCAAGTAATGCAGATAATTCAATCGACTTGATACCGACTTGATAATAATTTGTTATTACTGAATTTACATCAGTTTTGTCGATATTTTTTAATTTGCAATAGGATGTGCCCAAGGGTATCTGAGTGATTTCTGTCTGCGATGTCGCACTAAGGACTAATGGAGAACAATTTATCTCTTTGACATATTGCTTTACAGCATTAATCACAGTATCCCGCAATATGCTGCCTCGCACGAAGCATTGAATGTACAGACAATCGGTGAAAGATTTCACGAATTTTTGGAATTCTTCAAAATTAATATCACGTAGAGCAATGTATGTATCAATATGTGTATAATGGATAGTTTCCTTTAGTATGCATAATTTCACGTTCCTGCGAAAAAGAATAAAAATATATGCATCATTGTAAAATCAGAATTCGATACAATTCATTTTATAATATCATTTCTCATGATTAATATACGTATATCATTAAGTTTTTCTAAAATTTATGTGAGAATTAATAATAATTATTATAATAACATGAATATATAACTGTACAATTTAAGTACAATTTTATAACTTTTGCATAATATTGTAATAATATTCGATAATAAATAGTCAATACTTAATGAGTTTTTCAGGTTTCGTAAATTTATTATAACATATTTCAAGTTGTTTCACTTTAACGGATTCAAATAAGTTCTTCTTAACAACAGTTGAATACTTCGTCATGTATGTTGCAACAATTGACAGAAACTTCTGCAATAGAAATAAAATATTGATATGTATCTCGAAATTATATTTAGAACACCAACACATATTTTTAAAATATACGTACCAACAGTTTTTCGTTAAATCCATTCATTTTTATAATAATACCTTTTTCACTGACAGTGATATCATAGTGAATATCTGACATTATAGCCGGAAATAATTCTGTTTGCAATAATTGTTTAAATACATTGCAATACATTTTCATCAAAGCTGCACTAAAATGTCATTAAATATAATGTAAATATTTTATTAACAAGGTACAAATGATTATATAGAAATCATGATAGGTATATTATATGTATAATTATTAGATAGAAATTATAGTACATAAGATCTACAATACTATATTAACTATATATTATTATTAATATAACTACTACCTAATGTAGAGTATTACTACATTTTCAAGCTTATTATTATATCACGTACGTTTTTGGCGACTGAAATCCCAGAGGGTAAGCAATAAATTGGAAATTTATATAACATTTCGGCCCTATCTTTTGGAGATACCAAATCTCCAATAAACGATTTTCAATTAATTTTATAGGATAATTCCGAGTTATTTTAAATAATGCATCGTCGTTGCTAGTAAGTGATTCATTTAAAAATGGTAAATGAAAATCTGGTAATGGTTCAATAGATCTCCAGCGTTCGATCCAGTTTTCTGGTATTTGATCATGATCAGATTCCGATAAATTTTTGTCGAAAATCATGATATTCACGGTCTCTGGCATCAAATAATACAAACAATTTTGTATAGCTTCTGGGTCGTACTCAAAGTAATTCTGCTTTCCAGTTATATAATCGCGCGGTGGATACAAATGCATATTCTTACACAAACAGTCTACATAATCATTATTACCTAACAATCTGAAAAAACAACTTCCAAGTATAAGTGACGTTCTACAAATATTTATATTATTTTATCGAGTTTTATTTTCTACACGTCTCTATTTATATTCGTTCAACTGATTTACCTAAACTTATTTTCTGTGATCTTATAAATCTCGTCATAAATTCTTTTCTGCGGACCTTTACTTTTTAGTAAATTAATAAATGAAAATATCACATCTAGAATTTTGCTCACATGCTGTAATCCCTCTTGGGTGAGATTTATAGTAAAATTAAATAATGTATATATAGAATTATGTTCAAAATCATCGTCAGGATTATCATGTACAAAACCGAAAGCCCATCGTTTCTTAAGTAGATAACTGATTAAGGAACCTTTTCCCTCATGCTTAATAATCCATAATATATAATTATGTGGTTTACTTTTATATAAATGAAGTAATGAAGGCATAACCCACGTTATTTGTAGCTGTAAAAGATAATTTTTGTTTTATATATTTTTCAGCATGTATATATACGGGTGTTCCAGAACCCGGCACTTACGTATTCCTCATGAAAAAGTGAATCGAAAATGTTAATAGCAAAATCTTGAGGCAACAATAAATTTCAAACGGTGAACATTTGAAAATAACCACAAGGCATGAAATTCGCGTCGTCAGAAGCGGTGCAACTATAATAGCGTTTTCTCTTGGCTGCACCAGTATAGGGTGATTATGCACCAGTTCATCTTTTTTTCCTTTTCCCTTCTCCTGGAGAGAAAAGGAAGAAAGATGAACTAGTGCAAAAGTTCAGCTGAGTGTTGCACTGGTGCAGCTAAGAGAAAACGCTATAAGCGATCGATCGCGCGACGAATCCTTTGACGGACATACCGCTAAACGGCACAGTACCGAACAAGTATTGCAAAAATTCGTGAAATCTTTATATTAATTAACATCTACTGCAGTATTCTTAAATTGAATTCGATTTAACTGATGAGAAGTAATATTAATTGTAAATTCGATATAACGACACATAGTCATGAGAATGACAATGGAATCTACATCGAATTGATGTCGATCTATGTCGAAATCATCTAATCGACGTCGAATTGACATCGATTCGATGGCGATTGATGCCTCAAGATTTTGCTATTAATTTTCACTTTTTCATGAGGAACATGTCGACTCCTGCGCTTACTTCTGGAATACCCTTTATACATATATTGCGTGTGTGTATAGTTCTTTTTGGATTTGTGTGTTCAAATCACGTACATGGCAAATATTTTTGAAAGGTTTAATTTTATATATTTTTCGGAAATTATTAATATTAAGATAATCATTGCTTGTAAATTTGGTAAAGTCATCAGGAGGTAGCCAGTTACTTGGTATATCAATAAAGAACCTTTTAACGTATTTTTCCAATGTATCCAGTGATAATGTCGCCTATAAAAAGATACTACTGTTATGTTATGAATTAAATATACTTAAATAAGAGTATTCAATCATTGATTCTCCTTTTATTATTTAATCAATAATGTTCACTTTGACGAGCGATAAATTTATACTTGTATAACTAGTTTCATTCTGTGAGCGCTGTAATGGCGCTCTCTAAAAGTGTGCAGTGCATCGTACAATTTGTCTATGCTTTCATCATTATCATAATTCATTGTCATTGCATAAAGCAATGGAAATTTATTGACTGGATGTCCAATTGGTGCGAAAGACGATAATAATCGATTTCTTCTGGGCGTATCATATGAAGATGAAGACAACTGCAAGTCTATATAAACATGTTACAATATCAAGACTGCAACTTGCGGCGTACATTATTACGATTACAATTTATATATGTACCTTCTTTTACAATCTCTGTCATCCGTTTGATGACATCTTTTTTCATTAAGGGCTTAATGAAAAAATGAGTAAAGCGATCAAGTGCTGATGACAATTGTTTCTTTTGAATACCACCCTATAATGAAAATTTATCTCTGAACTTTTATACTAATTTGATTATTTGTCAGAAAGAATTAATTAAGTCTACATATATTTTCTTAGAATTTTTCATATATGTGAGTATTCTAAGAGCTCTAAAATTTTTTAATGTGTGTTTCTGAAAAAATAACTTATACTTTTTTATTGACAAAAGGTTGTTTCTGTTATTACTAAAAATTTTATTATTAAATAAATATTAAATAAGTTATTATTAAAAAATCTTATAAATCTAAGATCCGATTTTCATTATCTATTTAACTTATGGTTAGGTTTAACCTGATGTTTTATCTCAACAGGCTTCATCTATGATATGATATCATGGATGAAACCCCATTGGGTGAAATATCTGCAACTTAATATCCCTGCTTAAAATTTTCTATAAAAACCTATAGGAACATATAGAGTTTGTATAGGTATTTATAGTTTTTAATAGTTTCTATAGTAGCGCACGAGAGCGACTATAGAAGCTCTACAGTTATCAATAAGATTCTATGAGTATATCTAATAATAGAAAACTATTGCGGATTGGGATTTACCGATTCAAAACGCTCATTAAAAACTATAGAATTTTCTTAATAGTTTTCTATAGAAAATTTTAAGCAGGGATAAGCTTAATCGCAAATTAATCAGATAATAAAAAGCCAGGTCTAAGAGAGAGAATTTCTAAATCATCCAAATACAAAATTCTAAATAAAAACTTAGACTTTGTCGATATTTCTAAAAAGTATTTCAATTTGTACTTAAAAAATCTGAGAACTTTTCTAAAAAGTAATAATATATTATTGAGAAATTCTATAAAATTCTAATATTTTTATATAAAATTATTGAAAAATTATATGAAAAATTTTGAGAAAAATTTTCACCAATGCAAAGTAAAATGTTGTATGCTCGTAATCTGTTACGCTATTATTACATCCGCTATGCTTACTGATAAATTCAATAAAATCATTTTCCTGCAAGTAAAAAGACATTTAACATTTATAAATACGAATAAATTTTATAATTCGTGCATTATATTGTATTTTAATTACATCTTCATATTTTTCAGATCCTCTAGAAACCATATACTCAACAAAAAGTGCAATGTTTGGAATTTCTTTATCACTGAATCTGCCTACTCCCACGTCTAAACCACATTCTACCTATGTTTAAAAAAATTTTATGTATACACAACATATTTAGGTCCTGCGCACAATGGAGGAAATATTAGGAAGAGGAATAAATATTAATATTTCAACCTATCAGATACCATGCAGTTACACCGGAACATACGATTTCTGATAAGTTGAAATCTTAATATTTATTTCTGTTCCTAATATTTTTTCTATCGTGCGCAGGCCGTTACACATAATATATTGCACATATAATGTTAAGTTGAAAATGAGTACAATTAAAGGGTTGATTTATACTGGCCGTAATCTGTTAACTTATGCGGTAATCTGTAAAGATTGACCAATCACAGTCGAATGAGAGGGGAATAATCGATTATAATTGTTCAATTTTTACAGATTACGGCATAAGTTTATAACAGATTACGGTCAGTATAATCCCAACCCTAAGAGATTCGTAAACAATTTCAACCTGAGAGTCACACATTTAGAAATAAATTTTTTGAAACTTTCTTGCAGTAGATAGTAGAGGAGATCAAGTTTGTCAAACAAAAATTTCTAATAAAACTGATAACATGTGAATTTTAGGTTCTAAGATATAGATACTTTTCATGTGATTATGTAGGTCTTTGTTTGATATTACAATTCTAATAAAATGATAATAATATTAAAGAACTGTAAATAATTTAATAATGCTGATAAATTTATTATTAGATGCTTATATTTAACATCAAATTATTTACAGCTTTTTGAGACGTTTATATTAGAATCAATATCATTAAATTGCTTATCAATTTAATTTTTCCTAGTTTATAGTTTAGGATTGTCTTTTAAAGTTGAAAATAATTTTGATGTGCATTTTGTACACCTGGATACATAAAATATTATTTATAAATATTAATACACTTATTGATTCTGCAGTTTATCAAATAAAATTGTTTTATTGCTTATTGTTAGTTGTGTAATTTATATCTTACGATACTTTGTTATTATATTTTATTCATGTATATATATATACTGTCAATTCATGTTTTTTAATTCGTTTAACTGGAGAACCATCTTCACTGCCTTCGCCACTATCATCATCTTCATTTTCATCACATTCTTTTTTCTCGGATATTAACAAAGCTGTTAACCCATTTCGTAATCTAATAACTCTAAATTTGAAAAATAAAACAAATATAATGAAATAATAAGATATATATCGCACATTATTATATGATATTGATCATATAAGAAAAATTTAATTTTTTGTAATGTTCTCTTACTTATTATATATCAATAAAAATTGTACTTTATAGAAATTTATTACTAGCCAATTAATCATATATATATTTATTTTGAGTATTATAAGTGCTAACTGTTAATAAATATATATATATATATATGTAGTGTATAATGACCATGCAATAAGAGTGTAAAATTTCTATAAGGGTTCTTACTGCAAGTATATACATAATATATATATATACATATATGTTTATATATATATATTTTTTTTAACACAGTATTTGCAATCCAAGTATTTTGTATTTTATATTTTAGCGGAGCACATGAAAGTATTACGTACTTTGTGTTTAAAATCGAAAGATTAAAAGTTTTTTGTATTTTGTAATTCAAATAATAAGATGAATTGTCAATTTTGGTATTTAAAATATAAAATAGTTTTAATCTTTTGTTACTAAAATATAAAATGCAAAATTTAAACTTTACACGCTCCCATAATAAAATACAAAATATAAAATATCCTCTCTCTCTCTTACCCTCCCCATTTCATGTACTCCACTGAAACACAATTTACAAAATACAATTGTCTTACAAATACACTATTTTTCAAATAAAAGTATTTCAAGTGTATGCCCAGCCCTGTTAATATATTACTGCTCTCATCTTACCTATATTTCATCAAATCGTTTTCAGACGTAGTGGGTGTCTCCAGATATTCAACTTGATCACGCTTATCATCTTCGGTTGTATCGATCTTTTCCATCCTCTCCATCTCCAATATTATATCAAATACACAAAAAATTAGTACGAATATTAGATCTATTGATTTAATATCGGATACGATCCGATCGAGAAACTAACAATATTAAGATATTCAATCATTTTCAACTCCCTTTACCAGTAGATGTTAATTGGCACTTTAACCGATACTTCTTTCTTTATATATGGGCCTCATTATATTCGAAATTCGAACAAAGGTCAATATATATACAGAGGCAATATTTTTGTGTACATTGTAAACAGAAGGGCATAGAAATAATAAGCATATAGTCTTTTAGATATGCTTACACAATTGTATTTATATTTATGGCAATTTTAATAGAGGACGCGATTCATTATTATTATATTTGCAAAAACTTCCCATACAGCACAGAAATATGCTACAATATTACTGCAATATTGCAGATTGCAATGTAACAAAATGCAGAGATATTACAAAAATAACAATATGCCTGTGCAAGATATCAGTAATATATCGCTCGTAAAATATCCCAGAAACATTGCAAAACTGTAATTCTTTAATTGTTTTTATAATAATAATATAAAAATATTATAATTTTTTACGATATTTTTGTGTAATAGTCTTTTAGTTTAACAGCCGTTTTTATGATAATTAATATAATCCATTTTTATATTCAAATAAAAAACTGCTTTTCTGCTGAATGCAGCAATAAGAATAAAAATTTTTAACTGTTACAAATCAGTTTATATTGATTGACCGTATAGATCACGAGGGGAAGGTTCCGATTGTCTCATGCACAATTGCACACATTGTTCGTTGATTGATCAATTTAAAAATAATATAACCCCTCATTGGTAAAGCTGTAAAAAGTTACTAGGCACCGGTCAATGTGATGTGCAATCGAGAATGTAGGCAAACGGGATCCTCCTGATCACGAGGATCGTTTTTTTTTTAAATTGTGATTTTATTGTTATTGTCTAATTTAATTATTAATTGGGATGATAAGTGCAGAAAAAAAATTGTACATTTATGACAATATGTAAAATATTATAGAATTACAAGTATACATACTTATTTATGGAGATACTTATTTTATAATAATAATCCTAAAATTTAGTTGATGGAATATAGATTTTGGTTAGGACTGGCAGCCTTATTGGCTGAATTTTAAGATTTTAGGGTTAAGACCCGAAAATAAACTCACCTTTAGTGTCAATTAAATGGTCCACAATTAAGACACTCACCCATATTTCTAAAGTTCTAAAAATCTTATTCTGCAGGCCTGAAAACTAGAGAACAGACTTTTGCATATTGATGAACCCGGATCTACAATAGAGTTTTAAGTTTTAACCATAAGGAATGGACGAATCATAGTCGATTATTCTCCTGGCTTAAAACACATATTGGGTGCTTTCCAATTACTCAACACATCTTGACACATACGTACACAGGAATGCACAAAGTGTAGCGTTGTGCATGACTCAATTGGAACAGCGATTTCGAATAGATCGAGTAAGGTTAATTTTTTAGTACATGCCCGTACCTTGATATTTTGTAATCCGTGGTGGTGCATTTCCGTGTATTTCAACTAGAAGAACAATTTATGAAAAATTAGCATAGCACTCTATAAATTTGTACAAAAATTTGTTTATTATAATGCATATAATCTAAAAATATTTTCGAAAAGATCGACTAAAAGAAGACAAAAGGTATTTTAGATTTTATTTCTTTTAACGTTATGAATATGTAAAACAAAAAAATATAACAAAGAAATAAAAAAATATATATATATATTATTTTGTTAAATATACTTATAACAAAAATTTATTGATACCAAATAATTACTTACTTCAATAATATTTTCATCGTCCCATTTCGTTGTTTTTTCCCGTGTGCACGAAAGTGTCTAGGGATATTGTAATTGGAAAGCACCCATTGATCCGGGGTAAAGCAAAAAAAATCAACCAGTCAAAGTTTTTATTTCTTAGAAAAAAAAAGGAAATGAGAGATTTTGATTGGTCCATTTTCTTACGTATTATGAGTTTGCGTTAGGCCGGAATCAGACTACACATTGAAGATTGGAAGATTGAATTTTGGCTAATTAAAATAATAGGGGTTAAAATTCTTTTATCCTCATTGGTCAAATTTCAATTTTTAACTTTCAATCTCAATTTTCAATAGGAGGTCAAAGTGAAGAGAGTCGCTAGCGTTTTGACGCTGTGCTCCCGTTTTTAAAAGGCCGCAGCACACATTTTGCATGACGTATAAGAGAATCAACAAATCATAATCCTTTTTTTTTTTGCTCCCACTTCACGGAAGAGAAGCATTTTGATTGGTTGATTCTCTTATGCGTCATGCAAGTGTATGCTGCGGCCTAAAGTGGAATACTCGCACAAAAGGACGAGTTTGCGAACGCGCAGTCAAATGAGCAACGCTGCAATTGGTCCGTACGTTTCCCACGCTTGCCATTGGTTGATTTTGTGCAACGTTTTCGATAACGTCCCGCCAGCTGTTGGAGTTAGTTTGTTTGAAATCAAACGGCAACCGTGGCCCGTTGGTTGCCAAGTCCGCCCGAAATTCTGTAATTCCTGTCATGCCTGATCAGTTATAGGAAGATTCGGGGGTATCTACGTTTCGTCGCGGCACGTTGAAGGAACCGGGACGGACACGCGCACGTTGTTATTTATTACAGTCGTTTATCGTCACCCCGGACCCCGTCCCGGCGGCGGAATTCCGCAGTCCCGTACACGACGTTCATTGAATTTCTTCCGTACGTGAGGAATATTATCGCCAGTCACGCTGATAATGGCTGCAATCAGGATACACGAGGATCAGGAGAATCGCATTACCGGCGATTTGCGCGGACGCGGGAAGGAGAGTCTCGCCGCTGCTGCCGTGAACACGCAAACACAGGTGCTGCATCAGGCGAAACGTGCTGTCCTTGGAGTCCTGCACAACAATTGCCCACGAAACGGGACGAAGCCTG